CTTTCGCTGATGTCGATTTCCGTTCAACCCATCCATCCGAGGCTGATTGTCTCGTTTCTGAACAACTTAGTTTTTACGGTGTGAGGTTGTTAGCCTCACGCTCAACCCCCAACCTGGAGGACCAGGGTATCGCTCTTCGTCTGGCTCCTACCCCTTGACCTGTCCGGCATGGGTGACCCTACCAGTAGCTACGCTACCGCCGACATAGCTCTCAAGGTCTCAGGAGCACTCAAACCCCACCACCACGATAAGGTGGAGACACCATCGGTGGGGCTGGCGGCGATGTATCTGTCTGAAATGTTGGCTGACTTTCGCCGAACTACACGACATTATACTTCAGAAGAGAGAATCTCAGATCTAACATTTGTTACGGTGATTGTTAACTGAACTCGAAAATGACAACACAGCGTTATAATGACTTATGATTGCTATTACTTATTTACTCTTTGGTCACAGAGGCCCGAGGTACAGCACATCTAATACTAAAGCATTACACACCCTCATTTGTCCGAAATTTGAAACAGATCCCATACCACACATTGAGTTACTGGAAAAATAAACCTGTATATCTGAAACGAAACTGGTCATTGGTAATCCGTCCCAGACCTTGTTTTCAAGCAGGAAGAGGACAAGAAACCTTCCAGTACCAATTTATCACTTGTTCAACAATAGATTATATTATAGGGACAATGCAGTGCGAGTTCTGAGGAATGAACAAAATGAAATCGCATCAGAATAATTGGAAAGGACGAAGTAATCTGTTCCTCGGTGTTCCGAAAGTTTATTAAGGATCATTCATAGCAGCGGCGATACATCTGTATACAAATTAAACTAGCAAGAGATAAAGAAGTGTGAGATCCTTAACTGTTGTATGTAACCATGACAGGATAACAAATCTACTTTGCTAAAGACTCGGATACTGACGTGAGAAGTCACCTAACGACCTGGTCAGTCATTAGCGGTCCTTTGTATGCTGAAGATCTCGGGTTGAAACCATCCTCATTTTTTCTTGGTTTTCGTCAGTCCCTCCAAACTAATTGTAGGATAGTGTGTTAAATTACTCTGGGAGCTCTTTTACCCACATCTGTCCCAACTCATTATTCACTAACAATCATGGCATTAGACGCTATGACCGAATAGGATGGTTTAGGATTGTATTCGAGAGGTGCTCGAGACAACGGCTGTCCTGACTGAAGTTTCTTTGCGGGTTTCCTCAGTCTCTCCAGGCGATTACTGCCGTAGTACCTCGATTAGGCCACTACTCCCATTCAAATTCTTTCCAACATATCATTTATTTATATCATACTATCCGACGCTGTTTAGTCTCGATGCTGAAAATCTTCGTTGAATAACCGTCGCAAAGAAAAAATTAGACAATGTAATCTTAGAGCTTTAAATAAACAAAGAATACGTGAGATGAAATCCGATTTCCTGTTGTCACGAGAAACCAGCCTGTTTTTGAAACTTCCTTGAGTTACTGCTCGGAGACCTTCAGAGCCCCCATAGAACCAGATGTTTGCGTAATTTTCTGCAGTCTCTTTAACGTTCTGACATATAGTGAATCGCAGGATCTTCCTGTGTTCGGCATATCGAACTAATTAAGCTAATTAAGCTAAGTGCACTACGCCATGAAGGCGTATGGTGGAGTGGATGTATAGATCTACATTTTCTTGACATCGGCGCTAGCTGGAGGTGAGTGGTCAGCTTCGCTTCTCGGCCGCTTTGCCACCTGGGAAAGAGCTCCCGGTGTACGTTGGATAGGTGGCTGGGTGGGCCCCAGAACCGGTCTGCACGACATGGAGAAGAGAATATTCATGACCCTACAGAGACTCGAACTTCGACCCCTCTGTCGTCCAGCCCGTAACCAGTCATTATACCAACACCGGTATCCCGTCTACCAACATAAATACCGGCCATAAAAATACATACAAACATCGATGTTCCTTTGCCTCGAAGAATACCTTGAATGATGAGAACGTATTTGAGTACACACTTTCTCCGTTGTTCCGACAGAGACCGCTATCAGAGATAGTAATGCATACATTCGTGGGTGTCTAGGTCGCGCCATAGCTCAAGCGGTTAGTCGCTGGCTTCCCACCGCGGCGACCCGGGTTCGATCCCGGGTCTGGTCAAGTGGGCTTTATGGTGGACAAAGTGGCGCTGGGGCAGGTTTTCTCCGAGTACTTCGGTTTCCCATGCCAATCTTCATTCCGCCAATTGCTCCACAATCACCCTCACCTATCATCTGGGGCTGGTACAATAGACCAGAAGTGGCCGCAGTACAAGGGACTTAGTCCCACCCCACTCATCATCATCATCAGTAATGTCAGATGACAGGTCCACAGTCTCTTCCAAAACAGTTCCTCCACTTAATGCGATCTAGAGCTTTCTCCTTCAAATGACAGTATCCTCTTCTGTCCCCAAGGTCATCCAGCATCTTCTTACGTCTTCTTCCTCGTCTTCTTGTCACTTCTATCCGCCCATCTATCTTTCCTTCGATAGCTTCTTTTAGAAGGCAGTTTCTGCGTAAAACATGACCAATCCAATTAGCCTTCCGTTTTCTTATTTCATGTAGGATATTCCTCTGCTCACTGACTCTAATTAACACTTCTTCATTTCTCACATAATCGGTCCAACTGATCTTCTCCATCCTTCTCCAACACCACATTTCGAAACTTTCCAGATGTTTCTGATCTACTGCCCTAAGTGTCCATGTTTCAGCCCCCACCCCACTAGAAGTAAAAAAGTGCACGTATTCATGGGTGTCTAAGTTGATGATATGAAGTTTGAGAAACGTCAGAATTTTCCATTTTCCGAAGAATGAATCCGGTCTGGCTACCATGTCCATGCAATTATCCAAGCATTGGTCGTTAAGTTCATAATCTGTTGGCAAAATCAGTGCTCCAGCTTCGCCATGTCTGTAGTTTAAGCCACACGCCCATCAGTTTAGATTCAGATGTTGTATACAAATTGGCCAGATTTGATTTTCATTGAAAATTATACTATAACATGCGCTTCAGCACACAGAATTACTAGGTTTTTGGACCATTTCCATCGTCGGGTATTCTAGAAAATAGAAAACATGACGTTTCGAAAACATCCAGTTTCCGAATCGTCTTGTTTCCTGTTTTATAGAATACGGTACTATGGGGAAAGTCCAGAAACCTAGTAATTTTGTGTATTATACACCATCGTCAGAACCCTTTAGAATCTACGTGTAATTTAGTTGCTCCCAGTCTCTGATGGGACTGTGCAGTTTCTGTGCAGTTTGTCCACTAAAAAAGTCATTCTCTGTTCTTCCCCCAGGGTGATTTACAAATGTTGCATCCATATAGAAGTAAAATTGTAATTCTGAATATTTTAAGCACACAGATCGAACTATGTGAACAATTCAAATTATGATGTTCTGCGATAAATATGTTCTTCCCGTGACGTAGGTAGAGACATTCCTTCATAATTTAAAAGTAAGAGATAAAGTTGTTGCTACGTTTAATTAATTAAGCACCGCAACATGACATATGGTGAAGTGTGTGTAGCTGCTAAGTTGGTTATTTAACTATAGCGGTATCGTAGTTGGTTGAGGCACTATGCTACAAGCCGGAAGATCGCGGGGTCAAATCCAGATGAGGTGGATTTTTTCAATTTACCTAATCCTTCCAGCCGCACTAGGGCCCTGGGGTTGACTCAGCCTCTAACAGAAATGAGTACCAGGAATACTCTTGGGGGTAAAGGGCGGCCGGCAAGTAAGGCTGAAAACCTTACCGCCATCTATGGGCCGATTGTCTAGAAAATGTGGCAGCCTCAACATCTCACAACCCTATGTGCCTCCACGGCCTGTTACAGGGATACCTTTACTTTTTACTTTTGTAATTATACTCGCAATATCGAAACTGTATAGTATCGTTCCACTCATTCTTGGCCTCGGCACTGGATGGAAGTGAGTTGTCACCTTCCAGTCCCGGCCGTTTTATCGTGTGGAAAGAGCTCCCGGTGCCCAATGAACTCCACAGCCTTGGAGAATAGAACATTTTCTTGCCTCTACCGGTAATCGAATCTCGATTTCTAGGCTGCACAGCGCTTAGCCCTCTGCTATACCGACTGTGCCATACCGGTTGAAGTTCGCTTTTCTATACCATTCTGTGGTTCCCTCGGATAGCCCATTAGACCAAAGGCATATATTATTAATATTATGGCTTCACAGCCCTTTGTTGGTCCTTGGTCCCTTTTTTCAGTTTCTTGATCCGATACACAATCAGTAGGGCTCCTTGGACGGGGGATCAGCCCGTCGCAAGGCCGCTACCTACACACGGTACAGACATCCATGCCTTGAGTGGGATTCGAACCCACGATCTCACTGTTCGAGCGAGCGAAGACAGTTCATGCCTTAGACCGCGCAAAGACATTTATAGCCGTCTATAAATAATCGACTCGTTCGGGATTAGGTCGACTCTTTTCAAGGGCCATCACCATAGTTTGGAAGGTCAGTGTCGGATCTTGGATACAGTGCGTATGCCGGATTAGTCGCAATTATGTGGCGCAGTATAAGGGGTAGGTCACATTATTATGAATTTAAATACACCCAGGCGTTGATAAAAATATTACTCAGTTCGATGCTGTATTTTATGTTTTCAAGGACTGTACTCATTTGTCTCGTCGCACATGGTTAATTTTAAACCCACGGCCATTTTTTTTTCATATCTTGGCTTTCATTTCCATTTTGTAATTTGTTCTAGTTATATTTTGATATGCATGTACTGCCTAGCACTCTGTCTCTATGAGTTTCCATATTTAAAGCAACATAATATTTTAACCTCTTCTAAATTTCACCTAATTTATGTGTAAAGACTAAAACAGGTGTGTTACAGCTTTTAATATATATATATACACACACACACACATAACCTTAACCCCTTCTATATAGAGAACCCATTTAACTGAGGGTCGTTGTGCGATTCTGTCAAGTAGTCGACACATACGTCAACAGATGGCAGAAGTGTCGCTACTCTAGTTCAGTTGTGAAGACCGAAAAGTCATTTTGCTTAACAGCTGTAGTAACTGCACTGTGAAAACATTGAAACATAAACAGGAACGGAACAGGAATACAGTATAGGATCGAGATTTCCGAAACGTGTGACACTGAATGTGTTTAATTAGAATAATAGTTTCGACCTTGACGTAGAGTGTGCTGCGATCTGTCCAGATTTCAGCGAACGACTCACAATGCAGTAGATTTCAATATGCCGTGGCCTTCGCAGTCGTTCCTTAAAATGGCAGCGATATCGACCCATGACTGTGAAAATGGTAAGGATAAACCATGGATTTGATAGTAGTGCTTCATCTTGTTTGATCTATTTGATGTCATTATTTTTAAGGATATGTGAACATTAAGATATCTTAATGTGAGCTGAAAATAGCCTCACACGGACTTGATACAGACCTAGACAGCCTGGCGGGTTGCCTAATTTAGTACTAGCAGACGACACAGAACCAACAATTTGCGCAACGGAATTGCCACATGTGGGATATTTGTGTTCGTACTTTTATATTACTGTGTGCAGTGGATATGTATTGATTCTCTGATTGTTCATTGTTGTGTTTAGACATAATGTCGCAGTTGGTTCTTAACGCCTTATACTAGGCATCCCTTTCTTGGGTTTTGTGCAGCAGGTTGCGTAGACACCAGGATACTATATTATCGAGCGGTCTCGACTGTTTTCTGCTTCTGGGCGTGGTTTATTTTCCACAAAAAGAATGCTTCGGTTAGAAAATGAGTTTTACCGTATTGCTGCGTTTGACATCCATCGCACCTTCCAAGGTACCTACCTGTCTGTCATGTACTGAGAATCCCACCAGCATTGTGCAGGATTAGCACTTGCATCGTTTTGTGAGCGACTGGCCGTTTTCTTTTGCTATAAGTTTCTGGTTATGTTTCGTACAGTGACACTGTGGACTGGCTGTGTGTTTGTATTGATGGGTCTTTAAATATACCACTGGTACAGTCATTTGCAAAACGCTCTTGGCAGTCATTCTTTACAGTTCTTTATGCTTATTGCTTTTGATTTTGGCATTAAATCTTGGTGCATCAGTGGCTAGTTTCGATTGTGTCAGGAATGAAATTTTAGTGTATTTTAAGCTTTACACAAAATTGTAGACGTTAGACATTCAATTTTCAGCAAGGTAATGTGTATATCTTTTGTGTGTTTCTGTGGCAGTGAATTTTAACTGAGATTATCTGTTAAACAACCGAATATCGAAACATTTTTTAAACTTCGCTTGATTTTATTAATTTCCAACTTACAGAAATAATCGAACACAACCATTAGCTCATCCGATTTTCTTGTGCCTCAGTAGAAAGTGTATTATTAAATATTATTAATTAGACAGTTTGTGATATTGAAATTTTCGATTATTGCCCGATGGTTTTTATGTTGGACATACATACCAAGTACGGTACACGAGGTACCGTACTTGGTTGAGGTACTATGCTACAAACCAGAAGGTAGCGGGATCGATTCCTGGCTGGGTTATTGGATTTTTCAATTGACCTAAACCTTCCAGCCGCACTATGGCCCTGAGGTCGACTCAGCCTCTAACATAAATGAGTACGAGGAGTCGTCCTGGTGTTTAGAGCGGCCGGCGCTTGAGGCCGACAACCTCACCGCCATCTGTTAGCCGATTGTTTATAAATGTGGGAGCTTCGACGTCTCACAACCCTATGGGCCTCTGTGGCCTGTTACAGGGATAGGTTTACCTGTACTTTAAACCTTTTAAACTGAGATATCACGGTGTTATCGGCCCAGATGAAATGAGTATAGGCGAGTTCTTTTGTTCCTGAAACTGCTATAACATGGAACAATTCATTCCTTTACTTTGACAGATTTGATGGGATATTTGAACCGGAGGAATTAGAAGAAGATAGCGAAGATATATTCAGATTGTATTCATAGCATAAAGGGGCCCATACATGATCAGTCATTTTCTGCAACATTCGATTTATGTCATCTTGTTGCTTAACGAGACCCCGTCGATACTACTGTCATGTTGCACAAACTTCACTTGGTGAGTTATCATCAAATGTTAACAAGAGTGAAGCAGCGTCTTAGCGATTATCATTCTACTTTCTTTTTTAATTTTCCTCTATAATTACTCCGAAGGAAATTTACTTTTTCCGTGCTTGTCTCTATTCATAGTGAATTCAGTATCGTTCACTGTAGCTAATATTTTATCTTAACTCCTACTTCTCGAGTTTTTGTTATTATATAAACTGCGTTTTCATAACTTGTACTCTTCTCAAAGTATAATTAGAATGATCCAAGTCAAGGAGGATGAGGTGGGTAGGGCATGTAGCACGAATGGGAGATAAGAGGAATGCATACAGGATATTGGGGGGAAAGCCAGAAGGAAAGAGACCACAGGGAAGACCAAGGCGTAGGTGGATGGACAATATTAAAATGGATCTTAGAGAGATAGGATGGGATGGTATGGATTGGATTGATCTGACTCAGGATAGGGACCAGTGGAGGGATCTTGTGAACACGGTAATGAACCGTCGCGTTCCAAAAAAAAACGTTGGGATATTCTTGAGTAGCTGCAGAATTGGCGGCTCCTCAAGAAGGGCTCAGCTTCATAATTAGGTAAGTAAGTAAGTAAGTAGTATAAACTCGTTAAATCTTCCCAAGTGTAGGTGACCTCATGTACATTTTAATAAATCTGCTCCAGAACTTTTTGCTATTAGACCTTGACGCCATTATAGGTGGGACAAGACTGAGCATACTTACAAACGTAGACCCCATTCACGGTACAACTTCTGTGCAATAATTGTTTTTATGTTAAAAGGATCACACACACTTTGACTTCGCACAGCATGTCAGTGAACTCCATTCATTTGCAAAGTGAGATTACACATCAGCGAATATTATTCAGAATAATTGATTATATGCAGGGCCCATGATAATGTTAGAAATGATAAAATGGAGGAACAGCATTTTGGTTTGGAAGCTGGTGCAGAGAAGCCACTGGTTAGACCGACCATGAGATTGGAGTATAGACAGTTGAAATTAATTTTGATGAAAATATTAAAGCGTTAGGTTTGAGGCACCTCCTGGGATGTGGCACCTTATATCCCGAAAGATGTTCGCCAAAGTTTCGAAGAAACATGCTGCGGGCATTATGACGATCGCCAAGTAAGCCCAACACGTACCCAGCATGTACGGAGAAAGACGAGCTGCTGCTTTCTTTTTTATTGCTAGTGGGGTGGGACTAAGTCCCTTGTACTGCGGCCACTTCTGGCCTACTGTACCAGCCCCAGATGATAGGTGAGGGTGGTTGTGGAGGAATTGGTGGAATGAAGATTGGCAGGGGAAACCGAAGTACTCGGAGAAAACCTGCCCCAGCGCCACTTTGTCCACCACAAATCCCACTTGATCAGACCCGGGATCGAATCCGGGCCACTGCGGTGAGAAGCCAGCGACTAACCGCTTGAGCTATGGCGCGGCCCAGAGCTGATGCTTAGACCCTTAAAATGGTGGTAATATGAAATTTCATTGGCCTTCTAGCTCAATACATGGCGAAACGAGGAACCAGCGCGAAGAAGGAGGCGACATGTTCCTCCGAAACGTTAGTGGACTTTATGACGGTCTACACGGCGTTATATCTTTATACCAACCTCTGCCAGAACCTCAAATCCTACAAAGTGATACAGGATTTTGAGGAAGTGGTATCAGAATATTCATCACCCCTCCGTTGGCAGTACTGATGGATGCTGTGATTTAGAATCAAATTTACGTTTCAGGTGTTATCTCATTTCGTCAAAACACGTCGCAGCCAACTGTTAATTGGACAGAGACAATCATGCTGAACACTATATAATTTTGCTAGCGCATCCCAAAACAAAATTAGTCCGTGCTGCAGTGAGTCATACGTCTTTCCATCTGACTACTGACATCATGGACCGCATCTCAGTTCATGTGTGTCACGTGATGATGAGGGGAGTGAACTTCTCGTGGCGTTGTGGGATCTCCGGAACCTGTCGGCGTCAGCTGTTGGTCGAGTAGTATTTGCAGTTGCATAACAATGCATATCTTCTGTACGTGACTGTGCAGTTTTGTATCCTGCAGTAGAATTCTTCACGTTTCAGAATAGTTTTAATCTTCTTCTTAGACTGGAGATAGTTATTCGCATTTCCTCTTTTATAATTCCACTTGTTATTACTGTCAGGAAAGAGATCCCTAGATAGATATAGACGTAGGTGGGAGGATAATATTAAGATGGATCTTAGGGAGATTGGATGGGGTGGTACGGAATCATCTTTTTTTTTATTGCTAGTGGGGTGGGACTAAGTCCCTTGTACTACGGCCACTTCTGGCCTATTGTACCAGTCCAAGATGATAGGTGAGGGTGATTGTGGAGCAATTAGTGGAATGAACATTGGCAGGGGAAACCGAAGTACTCAGAGAAAACCTGCCCCAGCGCCACTTTGTCCACCATAAATCTCACTTCACCAGACCCGGGATCGAACACGGGCCGCCGCGGTGGGAAGCCAGCGACTAACCGCTTGAGCTACGGAATCGTAGGGAGATAGGATGGGGTGGTAGGGACCGGATTGATCTGGCTGCGGATAGGGACCAGTGGAAGGCTTTTGTGAACATGGTAATTAACCTTCGGGTTCCATAAAATATTGGGAAATTCTTGAGTGGCCGAACGAGTGGTGTCTTGTCAAGAACTCAGCTCCATGGAGTTAGTTAGATGTTTTTATATTATATTATTTATTATATTGCAATTGGGTTTTAGCCCGGTGGCAGTAGTACACAATAGGACACAACAGACAAATAACACATATTACACTAAGTGACAACACGTTCAAACAAAACACAATACACAAAACACAACAATAAGGACATCCTACCACAGTGAATACAAACCAAATACGATTAACAACTACAATAATTACAGAGAAATACAAACAACTGCAACAAATACGACAATAACAAGGGTGTTGTTATTGTTACCGGTGGCTGCTGTTTGGGAGGGTGTCAACGTTTATCTCCCAACTTAAGTGACGAACTAGATTAGATTGACGGTGTCTAAGAACAGGTTGCTGATTAGAATATCTAGATCTATGAAAATGGAAACAGTAAGTTCGAGAAAATTACTTAATGAGGAATTCATTATTTATAATCTTCATCACAAATTATTATACCTGTGAAATCAAAGAGGATTGTGGGTGGGGCATGTAGCGCGCATGAGAGGGATGAAAAATGCATACAAAATTTTGTGAAAAGGAAAGGAAGAGACCTCATACC